AAAAAAAAAAAAAAAAAAGGAAAAAGAATGGCAACAGCATAAAGTATACAATAAAAGCTGAATATTGATGGGCAACAAGGAAAATTTAGGTCAAATGCTGAAAGAACATTGCACAATGGTCACATTTCCTACATTATACCTTTTTATTGCTTGTTCTGAGTATATCCAATTCTTTTAGAAGAAATGCTACTGTCTCTTTATTTACATCTGAAGTAACTTGATAAGGAATTATATATTCATAATGTAGATCATTCTTTCTATATTCCATAATGCTGTAATAAAAAAAACTGGTAAATAATACATATATATGATTTTATACAAGATGTATACATTTTATACTTCAAATGAAAATATTAAATCACTTTCAAAATAAGCATATAAAGTACCCAATTTTAAATCTTTTTATATTAAGAAAATACTATGGATAAAAAAGTAAATATGTCAATTTCACAGAGAGATGCCAATCTATGAACTGTGACAATTAAATTTTTGGAAAGCATTTAGTAAGAGATCCTATAGTTCAGTATACAGTACTCAGTTAAAGCTTTCACAAGCTCTAAAACTTATTTCAATTTGTATTTCTACCTAGGATTCTAGTTCTAGTTCTTTTTCTGAAATTGGGAACAGTAATAAAATAATTTGTAAAATTTGATTGAAAGTATCATATTTTCATTATTCAAAAATTGAAAAATGTATTCCTCAAATATTTAAGGGCAAGTATAATGTCTTTTTTAAACATCTGGTATGCTAATTGGGAATAGAATTAATCTGTAAACAAGTAGTATAAAGAAAGGGAAGGGGAAAAAGAGATGTGTTATGAAGGCATTGTAATAAAATTTTAAGCCTAGGTAAATCTGGTCTCAAAGAGAAATTTAGCAGTGAGGCCTGGGGTGGTCAAAGCAGCACTACTTACCATTTATCTTCTGTTGCAATTATGCTAGAGATTTCATGGTCTGGCTTTAGACCAAACTATGATTTGTGGTCATAAAAACATTTACCCTTTCTTCATTCATGCTTGTTTCAGCCACCCACAACATACCCCAAAATATACTTCAGGAAGAATCTAACTGATGCTAATGAAGAGGAATGTATCGGTATAGTACTTACTTTGTCATGTGATAATATTTATGAATATTCTGAATAATTTGCAAGCAACTAGAAATGGCAACTTATCTGAAAAACTATGCTGAAATAGTAATCTACAAAATATAATTCTGTCCAGACTGAAAACATAATTGAGTTTTTAAATTCTAACTATCTTTATAGCATATCACTAATCATCAAAGTATCTTAACATCACAGGTAAAAGTCACAGGTATCACAAATTCATATCCCTTCATGAGAAACACATGATGGATGGGTAAAAGCTGAAGAATGTGAAACAATACAGAAAGCAAATGGTAGAGTGCAAGGCTCTTTGTATAGCTTTCAAATTCATTTAGATGAAAATGGTGCTAACCAAAACCTAAAAGTACCTTTGGGCTTAATTTGTCCTACAGCTGTTGCCAGTTTTTGGCTCTGAAGAATACTATTCTATTTAAATCAATCATACAATTATTTCCAAATCCATAATACAAGGTCACAGAAAATAACACTGAATAAGGAATAAAATCTTATTGCCTTCCTTCAAACTCACCCTGAATTTTTCCACTTAGCTCTCTGGACACATCATATCAATATCATGGAGCCAAGAGAAAACACTGGCAGATTTCCCACATTTGCATAAATTAATGACATACCAAATTTAGCTCACTACTAAAGGGAGAAAAAGAAAAAGGCAGAAAAAGTTCTTCCAGTTTTTACTTTCTAGAACTAAAGCTGATAGCACTACTCACTTGCACTTTTCAGTCATCTCATCATCTGGATTAGGACCAATGACCAGAAGACTCCTTGATATCTGCTCCGGCAGTTCAGTGTCTTCATCTGTGACTTCATTACCTAAGTCACTGGATTTCTGATGCAAGCTTCCCTCAGATTCCATAGCTAGATGTTCATCTAGCTGTGTACTTTTATTTCTCCCTGTAGTGTCTTGCTCAATATGAATGTGGGCTATACCTATATTTAAACAAACAACACATGATATATAAAATGCTACAGCTATATATTTAAAATAATCTAATCATATGAGTATTTTGTGGGAATAATTACTCTTGTAACTGGAAACACAAATTTACTAGCCTTGCTTTTACTGTAATCAAGTCAGTTTCCATTTCTATGGTCAAAAGACATTTAGGGTAGTGGCTCACAACCTTGGCGATACATTGCAATAACCCAAGTAGTCTTTTAAATCCCAAAGCCCACATCACGTCATACAATAAATGAGTCAGAACTTCTGGGAGTGGGATCTGTTCCATATTTTTTAGTTCCCAAAATGTTCCTAGCATATAATAATGTTCTAAGTTTAAAAGCAAATGAATATCATCTGCTTTGGGGGGGCATTGAGACAGGGTCTCGCTGTACAGTACAGGCTGGCCTTCAACTCACTATGTAGCCCAGGCTGAATACAAACTCATGGTGATCCTCCTGCCTCAGCCTCCCAAGTGCTGGGATTACAGTTGTGTGCCACAGTGCCCAGTGATTCTTTCTCCAACCTGCCAAACTTAAAATATTTTTCATGCAGAAGAAAGTTATTTTAGAATAAAAGGATATAAGAGCATTTATAAATGAAGTATCTTCCACAAAGTATTTATTCTGAATAAATTCTTTGTCCCTGTTTTAGGCACAGCCAGTTACAAGGTTCAAGTACAGACATGATTCTTACTGGTAACTGGAAGCTAGATCAGAAATCCTTTGTTTGGAGAAATTACTCTTGATTTCACTTTGAGGAAATGAAATAGAATGTGCTAGCACAGCTACATACCAGGGTTAGCCATGATACTTCAACAACACATTCTGTTTAAACTTTTACATTTATAGGAAGAGAAATTTTATATCTGAAGCTAGTTTTTGATATTTCAAAATCATAACTTGTTTTGATTTAGATGTTCATTCACCATCCTACTTTTTAAGGATTGGCTGGTAGAATAGAACCCTCAAAATCTGAATGAGGGAGTTTTATAAGCGGACGTTCAGAAAATGGTTCATACCATTAACAAAATCCTTTATAACACCAATATTTATCTTAATACGTAATTTAAATGAAAAAGATTATAGTTACTTAAATGTCAAAATAACAAAAATTTCCCTCATAACGTATAAAAACCGCTTAAGGTCTCTACTATTCTCTAGTTCATGAGGTACACAGATTCTTGAAAAGGAAACAGGATAATCCAGGAACACTGCCAGCTATGTAAGCCCCCAGGTCCCATACCATCTACTTCAGTCCTGAACCTTGAACCATTTGCAATCACATGTAACAGTATCTACAGTTTGTTCCATGCTTTTACATCTGCATTTCTAGTTCTAGGTCATTGTCTTTCTCCTTTCACTGTTCCATTCCTAACCTTCTGGTATTTACCCATTCCTGATTTCCACACTTGCTATATGATTACTAGTTTTATAGCTCTCTGTCTTCAGGTTTAACCTATCCTAATTTCAAATTTTGTGAGTCCCTGAAATCCTAATAAGTCACCATAACTTCACCTGCAACTGGGCTGTCTACTCTAAATTCTTAAGGGAGATGTGTACATTTCCCAGTAAGAGGACTCTTTGTCTATCCCTCAGTAATTATAGCCCCTTCAAATATTATTAAAATAAACTTACCAATTTCTGACACTTTTCCAGGTTTTAATTCAAAAATGCTTTAAACGGTAGTAATATTCTAAATGTTTACTATTTTAACCCATATTTGGTGATTTGGCTCCATTTCTGGATATTTCAAATTCTGCCTAGTAGTAAAAATTTTTTCAATCTGAATTTGAACTGTTCTTCATAAATTTGTCTGCAAATCAGATCATTCATACTCTTCTACTGAGAATTTAAAGTGGGCAAGTTTGATTTTATAAAAATGTCCTGCCTCTCTGTCCTTTGTCCTGTTTTAAGAAACTATTTCGGCAAACATGACTTCAGAAAATTACTGCTAAATCCTTGGAAGCTTTCAATGCTCTTCCTCTCTGCCACACTGAATTATCCTATGTCAAAATCAATCACTTGTATGGAAAGTTTGGTCTTTCTAATTAATGTACTTATTTAACAATTTACTGATCATTCAGGGAAACCCTAGAGTGTTATATGCCCTGTGACAGAGCACTGGGAAAAACAAATGAAAGTACGAAACAGACACTTCCAGCAAGGATTCTATAGTACAAAGAGGATGGCCTACTGATGTAATGATTTGAATCCAATGTAACAAGACTTTGTTAAAACTACAGAGCATATAATATGTCAAACATACTCAGACTCAACCGAAAAGTTTAAGACGACTTTACAAGGAATCTGCTCCAAAAAGGACAAATAAAAATATGCAAAAAGAAAAAAAAAAGTTAATTGCAAAAGGGCTAGAGTTAGGCTGAGTAAAGAAAATCTAACAAACTAATATGAGAACAGGAAGAAGTACAGAGGAAAAGAACAGATTCAGAAAATATAAGATGTATCTCTTATTGTAATAACAAAATAGAGCAAAAATTCCTAAAGTGAGTAACAACAGGAAAAGACAGAAGTCTACAGTGTAGTTCATTTGAAAACTGGTTAATGTAACAGATCAATGATGAACTTGGAGAGGGGAAATCAAGTATTACGTTTGAAGCACTGAAGTCATTCAGGAAAAATGGCAGGAGATTGAAAGGAAAAATATACAAGTTCTCAGTGACAACAGAAATTAAACTAAAGAAAGATAGAAATAAATGAAAAAGGTGATAAAAGCTGATGGTAGATTAACAGTCTTCTTTTTTCCTTTTTATTTCTGAAATTATCTCTTTTAAAGTTCTGAAAACAGCAATAAGAATTCTTATATACCCATCACTCAGATTCCCTCAAATACTAACATTTTAATCACACTTCCTTTATTATTTATTTCTATTTATACATACACATATTTTTCTGAAATATTTGAGAATAAGTTGTAGGCATAATGCATTTTGATTTTTTAGGACAAATTTTAAGATCTGATATTTTGACAATTTTTCTTTCCCGCATTTAAAGCCTAATTTCCAGATTAATTCTTTCCCCAACTATGAAAAGATGGTAGCACTTATTAACTCTAATTTCAGTCTTTAATTATTGTCCTTTAAACTCTCCAGCTCAAGATAAAGCTCTTTATGAACTGACCACAGGATGAAGCTACTAAAAGTTTTAGGTGAGCTTATTTGTACTACCCATCAATTTTGAAAGAAATGCATTTGGAAATATAAACAGATAAGCCAATGTAACATCACAAAAAGCAAAGTTATAAGACTATTTTGCATACTAGTTGATTTAAAAGATAAATATCAAAGAAAAACAATGTTCACTCGATTCAAACCCTTAGATGAAAATTTAAAAACTATTTTATTTGAAACCATTCTATTGATTGCTTTTTCTCCCTCTCTCCTCTTTATCACTCTGTCTGAAATGAAAACTCTTTCTAGTAATCCACTTCAGTGTCTAATCAATGTCACTGTTAACTCTTCTATCATTATGACAGAATTAATATTATTTAAATTCATTTCTCCATATGGCATTAGAGAATAAATTAATCTCTTCTTCATGACTCATAAATCTATGAAGTCTGAGATCCTTTTCTCAGATTTGAACAAAAGTAAAAAATTGAAGACTACTATCTATCCCTTTACTTGCTGTTCTGGGGTACACTATTATATGGCTCGAAGAATTTGGCTATATCCAAGAAATACATTTCCCAACTCTTGCTATCACTATCTAATACCATCACTGCCATGCAAACTTATCATGAAATTATTGAAAATGATGTTCCAATAGCTACAGTGTCTCTAAATGCCACCTGGAACTATTTCTAGAAACAGTTCATGCATATAGGCAAGTCGGGTGGATTTGGTGAAGATTTTTTGAAATCTTAATAGTAATGCATGTGTGTAGCATAACTGCATTATATGCTTTTAAAACCTTGCATCTATCACTCTAATAACTTTCATATTGTTTTCATAAAACAGTCTGGCTATTTTGTTTTACTCCTAGAAATGTCAGTATTGCAAACAGTCTGGAGCTAGTATTCAATCCTCAATTCCCTTAGTCTAGAAAATTAACAGTGATAACTCTTCCTATCCTAGAAAAGTAATAGCTTTAGGATTCCCTTTGAGTTCAGTTTTCCAGATAATTACACATGAATGTATAATATAATGAGTTAAATTCATAATACCTAAGAAATAATGACTTCTAGCCAAACCAACTATTATTTCATGAGTATTCTACAGAAGTGAGGAGGTGGCTTGAATCAAATAAGAGATTCTTAGACGCTGGGAAATTCTGTTCTGTCTGGCTTTGTAAATAGTTTGTGACAACTGGTATCTGTGTAAACGGATTTGATGGTCCCCTGGGGGGGGTCAATAGTGTTTACAGAGCTGTTTCTTCAGAGTGGTTGAGCTAGAATTGTCTCTAGGGATACTCTGGAGTTACTCAGAATAGCAACATCCCAGCTACCTGAGAGCCTAGGGACAGGAAAAGAAGAGAACAGAAGTGACGTGGGGGTACTACATTCAAATACATGAATCTCTTTCCTCTTAAAGGTGCTACTTAGGCACATTTATATCTAAATGAACCACAATGTTGCCAGTTTGTTACTGTGCTTTCTGACTTTAACACAATTGGTCAACACTGCCTTAAATTATACATCTTGGAAGGTATAGGGCAGGGAGAGGGAAGTTATTACATATACCTTACCGTCTGATTTTGTAAACCTAAAAAGGTAACAAATGTTGTTTATTGCTTTTTTTTCCAAAACTATTACCACATGTAAATGCTCTTACATTGTATTGTAAATGGTGTAATGATGGAATTACTATAGCAGTTCCATATCTTAAAAGATGTCTTTCTGAATGGTTAAGGAGTTTTTTTTTTAAGGAGTCTTTAAAAATATACACTTGTTTCAAAACAATAACAGTATTAACTAGTGAACTCTAATAATGCCTGCCAATTCTTTAAGTAACATAAATGTATGTCTGTCT